AACTGATATCAAAATATTTTTTTTGAAACAGTGCATATAATTACGGTTGAAGTGGCCTCGACATCTGCCACATCTGATTAAAACTGATATCAAAATATTTTTTTTTGAAACAGTACATATAATTACTGTTGAAGTGGCCTCGACATCTGCCACATCTGATTAAAACTGATATCTAAATATTTTTTTTTGAAACAGTACATATAATTACTGTTGAAGTGGCCTCGACATCTGCCACATCTGATTAAAACTGATATTTATTCTTTTATCACAACTCATGAAAATTCTGCATTAAGGTGAATTTGAAGTCATTCTGCTTCACGGTACGAGTACATTGTAAAAGGCAAACACTTAAAAAAAAGAAGGGATAAAAGCGAAAAGAGAGGGCTGAATGATACTAGTCATTCCTTTAAAACGGGTACCTGATGCTTGGCTATTATGAATTTGGCTATGGAAGGAAAACAACATTTACCATCATATATATTAGTTTAATGCAACCTCAAAACCGTCCAACAAGGGAAAGGTAACACTCGGAATGCATGAATTACTTATCATATAATCCATTCTTTGAAATTGTTACTTTTACATGATTGCTTCCATTTATCAACAGCTAAGAAACTAGTTCATTGAATATGTGCATTTTTAATCTTTCTTCTCTGAAGATTGCAAAGTGTAAAAAGTAATACCACTACAAACCCAGTGAATAAATTATTATTCTCAAAAGCTTTATGCTTTTCCATACCTTTTCAGAATTCTTATTATTATGTAAATTTATTTATTACACGGTATTTATCTTTGTTTTCAGGTTGCGCTGTTATTGTTTTTTGTTTGCTTATTTTTTCTTATGAAAACCGTATTGAGAAAAACAGGCTATTAATACAATTACTAGGCAAGCGAGTTATGGTGTTTTAAAACAGAAAGGAAAGTTTTATTTTTCAGAACAATGCAAAGTATTGTAGAAATTACTCTAATGAAGGGTGCGTCTAATATAGTTGTTATCATTATATGACGATATAATTGTTTACAACTTGCAAACAAAGGTAACACAGGTAAGTCTTGTTTTCTTTGAGTTTTTTTGTTTCATATCAACTGTGCTAAACTTGTGTTTGTTTGTTTTTGTTTAATCAAAAATCAAGTTGCTTAGAAAAACACAATTATAAATCATCAGTGTAAAAAAAGAAATGATATCCAGTTATCGAGTGCCTACAACATTCACGGCATATAATATAGGAGACTTTGTAGTCCTGAAGAAGTGCTAGAAATTTCGATGAGAACTGCTTTCAATGACTTATTGACTTAGGGTCCATCACATGAAGTAACTTATTGACTTAGCGTCCACCACATAAAGTGATTAACTGACTTAGGGTCCACCACATGAACTCCGACATCGTAGTGTGACCACGTTTACAGCGTATATGGTTAAAAAAAAAGATTTTTCTAGCGGCAAATGTCACTTCCTGCTCACTAACTCCAGTTGCTTCGAAGTTTATAAACAGTTGAATTGTTGCTTATAAAATACACCACTGCAAGATAACCTAGATAAAGACATCACTCTAAGATAAGCTAGATATAGACATCACTTTAAGATAACCTAGATAAAGACATCACTCTAAGATAAACTAGATAAATACACCACTCTAAGACAACCTAGATAAATACATCACTCTAAGATAACCAAGATAAATACATCACTCTAAGATAACCTAGATAAAGACATCACTCTAAGATAACCTAGATAAATACATCACTCTAAGATAACCTAGATAAATACATCACTCTAAGATAACCTAGATAAAGACATCACTCTAAGATAACCTAGATAATGAGCATCTTTACTATGATTTACTTTAATCACAAGTTATTATTACAGTGAAATCCATGACAAGTGTTTTAGTGAACAAAATTTAATATTAACTTGTGTAAAAAAAGCTCCAAACAAGATAGGTGTGTTAAATTACACTTAAATTAAAACGAATTAGGACGATGACAATTATATTGATTTAGCAACGGGTGTTGAGTTTCGAGTGGACAAATTTAAACTAACGGTACCTATAGTTAATAGTTAATATGAAATGCGCCTGACTTGAAATTCAAAAGCACATTTCCGGACGTTATGGATAAAATGCACATGTGAGCCTTTTCCGTTTGGCGTCTTGAAAATATGACACATTTAAATGGCAGTTTGTCTCATTTCTTCTTATTTTACTTGATATAAACAAGAAATTTAAAACTGAAACATACGGACGGATACAAGACAAAATAACAACATTATAATTTGCATTCTTTTTACAACTTCTACTAGAAATTACCAGGGCATACTTAATTTTAAAGTTTTATCTGGAAGAAGAGTTCACTTTTTTTATCGGTAAATGTGAAGGAATATCATGTTTTCTGTGACAAAAATGTAACAATAACATTTATAGTGTTTACAAGATCAAACCCACTTCTATACACGTGCGTGCTCTAAGGTATATATATATATATATATATCATCTATTACCTTAATGAATATATACATATTCAATTTACAAAAACTTCAAAGCTGTTCACCGATCGTTTTATTATAGAAAACATCATCGTTTTCGTGTTCCATGGGGTACAAAATCATGGGGGTTCTACAACAACTACTGCTCAACAGGGGAACAGAGTAACAGCTTGGCAGTGAGAGCATTGCAAGTTGATAGGAGGTCTTTTTATTTGCACTGCTCCCTGGTGGGTTACCGGTATCAACAACAGAATAAGCTATCAGTACTTAGAAAGGGGACCTCAGCTGTTACGAAGCTGGTTACATAAATATAGCATCTCTTCTGACTAGCATTATCTTCTAACTTCCCCAGTGTCTGGTGCATTACTTAAAGAACCCATGATCGTCCCATACAGTTAATTAACTCTTGGTAAAAGGACACTCGTACTTCACCTTTAATAGTTAAAACATGGGCCTTTTTCCAGATATTCACACGCACTAAGCGCACTACTCGTTATTTCATATAATCCGAGACACTAAGTAGTGCTTATTACCTCCTGTATTTTCAAACACTGAACACTGCTTTCATACACTTTCAAAACACTGTTTTCATACACTTTCAACACACTAAACACTGTTTTCATACACTTTCAACACACTAAACACTGTTTTCATACACTTTCAACACACTAAACACTGTTTTCATACACTTTCAAAACACTAAGCACTGCTTTCATACACTTTCAAAACACTAAGCACTGCTTTCATGTACTTCCAACACATGAAACACTGCTTTCTTGTACTTTCAGAAACTAAACACTGCTTTCATTTACTTTCAACACACTAACATACACTTTCATACACTTTCAAAACACTGCTTTCATGTACTTTCAGAAACTAAACACTGCTTTCATGTGCTTTCAACACACTAAATAGTTTCATACACTATCAAAACACTAAACACTGCTTTCATGTATTTTCAAAACACTAAACACTGTTTTCATACACTTTCAAAACACTAAACAATGTTTACATACACTAAACATTCCTTTCATGTACTTTCAACAGACTAAACATTGCTTATCATTTCATGCACTTCTAGACTGTTAACTTTCGAACTTGTAGTATATTATGTCAGCCTCCTATTGTCACCTGTCGTACAAATGGGGGCTTACCTCTTCTCATAGATAATGAAAACAAAGAACGTAACCAAAACTTTTATAATATTGAGCATCTTAACGGATCCATTTGTCATACGGGTACCGAAACGCAGTGGAAATTAGCCTATTCCATGTATGTAAACAAACTACAACACTTAAGAATCCCCCTCATGAAATTTCTACGAGAATTGGCACATATGAAGAGATTTGTTTCAAGCTTACGGTCAAGTGATTGCGTGACATGCCCCACGAGGTATTTGTAGAAGTAAGGGGGATCCAATTATCAGGAGGAGCTGAGACCCGCTGAAGATAACAAGCTGAAGTTCTTATTAGTGTAATTACTTCCTGTGTGACGTTTCCGGCGAAGAGCGCATGACTGGCCACCGAGTGGTAACCAAACAATTCTAGCTCTGGATACACGAACATTTCAAGATATTGTACATACATTCGTATACGTAATTGATGTTCTATGTATGATGCAAGACAATATTCTCAATGAATACGTAAAGTAGCCCTGTGTCTAATTAGTTGACTTACATGTACATACACACTTATACATACATATACATGTATGTATGTATATATATATACGCACATTTACATTTTAATACCACCTAAGAAAAGTTCCACGGATGATATTTTACGTATATAAATAATTTTTACGAACAGTGGCGCTATATGAGTAACTAATTAAGAGGACGTAGGCTTAAGAGGTCCAACACAACTGTTTAGGATATTTTGCTGTTGTTGGTGTTTTTTTTGTTGTTGTTTTTTTAAAGTTAATTTAGTGGTGCTTGCAGGTTGAGATTCAGTCTAATAATGACCTACAAATGATATGGCTTATGTTTGCTAATAAATTTTACAAATTCTCTCGAAAAAGTAAATAATTTCATTTTAACATATATATATATATATATAAAACGGTACTACAGTCTTCAAGTTGACAGATAAATCAAATTCTTTCTACGGCACAGCTTTCTTACCTGATTGGCTCGTTCCAAATCATTTAAGAAGACTTCCATTACGTCCGATCTGAAAACAAAATAACAGATTTATTATTTATGTAGACATACATATATTGTCTTGTTATATTCCCAAGAACTTATGAGTAAAAGCAAAATAATAATATGTTAACCACACTACATCTGCCATATCCAGTGCCGACGAGGGCTTTCGTCCAATACTAGGGCACATGAAGCCGGCTGAGATATGGCAAACATAACAGTGTATAGGCGCTATTTACTTCATAATTTTCATTTTCTGTTTCTTTATTTTTCTATAGTACAGGGTGCTTGGAAATTATATTATGAAATTATGTTAACAGAAATTTTTTAAAAAACCTGGGTAAGAAATTTCAGGCACCCTGTACTTAAAATAGCATTAAAAGTTAATAA